AATTCCATTAAACATGAATTATCAGTGACAAATTGTCCAACAGATAAAAGGTTTGTAGTAAGCTGGGGAACAATGTAAACGTTACGTAAATAAAGAGGTTTTGGGTGCTTGGTGAGTGCAGTGTGACCAGTAGAAGTAATAGGAAGAGTAGTACCATTGCCAACAACCACTTGCTGATTACCATGATATGGAGTGGTAGAATCCACTAAAATAGGATCAGGTACCATATGAGCCTGGGCGTCAGAATCAGGAAGTCATTCAGGGATGTTACTAGATGTAAAGGATGAAAAGTCTTGAGGCTGGGGTTCTTGGACAGTGGAGGTGTGAAAAGCAGTGGGCATGTTTGTGGGAGTAGAAGAACGATGAGTTTGATTATTGCGAGATTCAGCATAGCGGAAACAACAAACAGCAGCAGAATGGTTGAATCTTTTACTGATTTGACATTGGGTAGGATTGGGTTGTTGGGTAAGGTTGGGATAAGGGCTAAAGGATGAGGTATAAGGCTTATAGGGAGTAGAAGGATGGATGGGGAATTGGGCTTGGTTTGGGCGATTTTGGATAGTGTTGAAGGGACGGTGTGGACCGTATGAATTGGGGTTGGTATAAAATGAGTGCTGAGTTAAGTTATTAGAAAAGTAAGGAGAGAGTTGACTACGACCACGGCCTGAATTAGGTTGTGACTGTTTACCACGAGACCGAAAACTATTGACTGGAAAGTTCACAGTAGTATGGAGTGCAGCTTCTGGTGAAGGCAAAAATGATTGCAAACGTTGCTCATGGAGAAGCAGTTTTGCTCGAAGATCTGTGAATGAGGGAGGAGGGTTGAGATTCTCTATAGTGGTGATGAAGGAAGCATATTCAGATGAGAGACCATTAAGAGCGAGAATAACAAGATCATGATCAGAGATAGTATCCCCAACAGCAGAAAGCTCTTCCGTCATAGTTGATAATGAAGTGAGAAAATCATTGACTGTGAGAGAATCTTTCTTAAAATTGTGAATTTTTTGGCGTAGTTGCGATCTACACGCTGTAGATTGTTGAAGAAAATGATGCTCGAGTTTGATCGAAAGGTCACGAGCAGTAGGACACCCCAATGCCACCGATGCCATTGAAGAAGACAACAATGCAGTGAGACAACATTTGACAAGGCGATCAAGTTTTTGCCATTGAAGAAATTCTTTTGGAATAGTATAATCAAGTGAAGAGCCTTTTGGTGATAAAATTGAACCATCGATATAACCATTGAGATCAGTAATAATTAAAATTCCTTCAACTTGATCTCTCCAAATTAGATAGTTGGAGTTATCAAGAGATACAATGATAAAATTTGTGATATTGGAGAGAGGAAATGATTGAGTAGTAGTGAGTGATTGTGAAATAGTCATTTTAAAACAATGGTGATTAAAGTAAAAGAAAAGGAAAAAAATAAAATAAAATAACGTGTAGTAGTATGTGAAATAGTGTGTGCAATAGTGATTTTTGGAGGTAATCAGTGGTGGGATAATGTGAGGAAAAAAAAAATTTTAGTCCAGGATCGATTTTGCTCTCGATACCATGATGAGAATAAACTTCATGAAAGATGAAATCATAAATTGTATTGTGTGCAGCAGTACATTACATTGCCTCTATTTATAGGCATACATCAACATTAGTTAAGATCTAGATATTATAAAATCTGAAATAATCTAAACAAATAGAATCTAAATAATCATAACTAATGAAATCTTTGACTAATCTTAGCAGCAGGTAAACTAAATTCTTGGGAATAGGCACTCTGGATAACATGCAAGGTTTGCAAGAACAATATAGACAAACACGGAAAAGAGTAAAGTTCATATCGTGAAATTAAACTTTGAACAACATAAAGAAAAGACCAAAAAAAAAATGTCGATGGGATTGCCACCGCTATTTCAAATGCAAGCCAAATGACCAAATATCTTCAAAGCAAAAATGGGTGAAGTCTAATTATAAACACCCTTCTATAATACATGCTTCACCAAAAAAGGACAAAAAAGCTCCCCTTTTCTTCATCTTTGCTGGTTCATTTCTAGCTAAGCGATAACTCAAAAACTGATTGTGGCAACATTATAAAACAGGAGTCTTAGGCCTTGTATTAAGTTTGAACCTCTGCCAATATGGCCCAACAGAGTCAATGATTTTGACCTTATAAATTATGAACATATTGTAGAGTAACCGTAAAAGCAGTAAATTAATTAAGCGATATGGAGACAAGGTTAAGAATTACCTGTCCACCCCACACTGCGATTAGTACTCCTATTGGCAGTCGCTTCTCACCATAAGACGAGAGGGTCCGGCGCAGCAACTTCAATTCTACTCCCCTCACTAACTTCATGTTGATGGCACTGCAATACATGTAACGTCGACAAAAAATTACAGACCAACGAGGAAACAGAACAGCAAAATGAAGAATTGAAAGCACAGAGATATTACCTCAGAGAAGAGGAAAGGTGCAATGCGTCTACTATCCATCATTCTCTCCTAAACTCGAAGCAAAACAAACAAAATCGTCAACCCGGTTCTGGTCCTAAAGTTCAGGGTAAAACTTGTTTAGCGCTGTATTGGCTACGTAAGCCGCTGTATTAACTACCGATTTGACTTTTGATTTTTGGGCTTTACACTTGTTTAGCGCTTTATCATTAACTAGATGTTAAACCCGCACAATGTGCGGAGTTTATACATATACATCTATTAAAATAAATTTTTAATGTGATTAATACAAATAAAGTAACTGATTTGTAATAATAAATATATGATTAAAATTAAATTAGATCGTGATAAATAAAATTGTTATATATACTTTGAAATGACAACATTTTATAAATTGTATGCTAAAAATGTAATTAAATTATGGAATATGTATAAGGATTATATACAAATAAAAGTTAAAAAGACCACCAAAATAATAAATCAGATGTTACATGTCATATAAATCAAAGCAATTTATGTCTACACAGTTAAAAACGCATGTTAATCAAGATTGCAAACAATTGGAGAAAGACACACCTTACATGTTCAATAAAACATGATCGAAGTGAGGTCGTCGCCGCAAAGATGTTTTGTAAAGTATATAAGATGTTTCAACTCAGTGTTTCACCGGTTGTCATTGTACATGTTAGAGTTAGACCGAAATGGATATTTATAGTGAATGTCTGAATGAGATATCATAACCAGTAACTAAAGTAAAATTCATAACTATGGAATAAAGATGATAACGTCACGTTGATTAAGGGATAAGATTGGTGGAGAAATGACTTCCATTGCATTATTGTTGATTAGTGTTTTTCAATTAAATTTGATTAGTTTTTAATCACTAAAGAATTCCCACTTTCCCGCACGTTGAACTTAGGTTTTAAATCAATCAAGTAGCGATTTTAGGGATTATTTTGTAGAGGGATTTTTTTTTTTATTCAAATTGATTGGGGTAAAAAATTTCGGTGAATTAATGTAGAAAATAACAAATGCCTTATCCCTTTGAACTTACAATTTAAATCAATCAATTAATACTAATTGGGGATTATTTTTGGGAGGGATTATTTCTGGGAGGGAATAATTCTGTTGCATTAATGTTCATTAATCTCGTCCATTAAATTTAATTAATTTTTATTTTCTTAATTTAAACTATAGTTTTAAATGCCATTTGATAAAACTTTATTTACATAAAATTTGAAGGACTATTAGTATAATTGTTGTAAATATTTTTTGACTCAACCATTAGAAAAATGACACATAGAATTTTATCCTATGTGGCACTTTTAGAATTGTTTTTGTTTTCTCTCTGGTTTCTCTCTTAGTATAATATTATAGATGCGTGAGGTCCAGAACTGAATTTGGCTTTTAGTAAAATTATCCAACACTAAAATGGCAAATGAAACCACTAACAAATAGCCCACCAAAGATAAAGAAATAGAGTTTCAACATCGTTGACCACTGAAATCGTTACTTTGACTAGCGATATGAATTGTGGGCTTTTGAACTTGGTCACCGGTTTACCGTTAAGCATGAAGTCCACAAATACATTGGGCTTTTATGAAAAATAATCCAACAATATGATGGTGGAGCCATTATGAGAGGTTTTTTTTTTTTTTTTTCCTGAGGAAAACAATATGAGAGTAAGTTTCACTAAAAGTTTGAAACTCATCATCGACAAAAACACAATTTCTCAGAAACATTAGAAAAGAAATAATGCGGAGAAAAAAAAAATTCTCGAAACTGTGAATAAATTGCTCATATGTCAAACTTCGTTACTACTTTTAAGTAAGCAAGGCATACAAAATAAGAGGAACTAAGCTAAATGGGATACCAACTCATGATATGATCAATGGCATCAACTTGAGACCACGAAGTAACTGTAAATTAAGATTAAAATTCACGTTTCCTTCCGTCCCAAAATTATTGTCCAGTTTAATTTTTAATTTTATTAAAAAAAAAATTGAACAATAATTTTGAAACGGAGAAACAAAAACATACTCCATGTAATAAGTTGGTCACATTTGGCAGCGGAGCACGTGCTGCACGCGTGCATACGTACTACACAATTGTAACCAACCACTAAAAAAAAATAATGGGTGCATTTGAAGTTCGAACCATTGGCGCAAATTGACAACAGTATCAAACTGTTTCTTCCTTCCTTCCTCAGGAGTTAGGACATCCCTCCCATGCCATTATGTCTCCTGCATCTTTACAGTAACCAATGTCACACCTTGTCTCCAATGCCCTACCCTAAAACATACTATTGAAATTCCGAAAAGTTGACCCTGCAACCTCAATTCACACGAAAATCAGTCGTTTTCTTTCTTTCTTTTTTTATTTTTTTATTTTTAAATAAGTTGATTTATATTGCTTTAGCTAACTAGTAAGGTTAGATCAACTGACTCGAGATCTTTACATGCTACATCAAGTCGGCTTCATTGTTTTTTGTTCGAAACCACACTTTCTGTTACATATTTCATATCCAAAACAAGACACAGTGTGCTTTTAATCTCTAAATAGGCATTTTTGCTACATCAGATTTTATAATCAATGTTGGATGCTAAAGAACTACTAACATCCTTCACCGACATCAAACGAAAGAAAACCGTAGCGAAGTTTAAAAGCAAATCAGAACAATGACAACTACAATAGTATCACACTCATTGTAGTAGTTACGTACTTAATATAATTACAATAAATTGTGAACTCCACAGTCCACATTCTGAAGAACATCAATCCAGTTCTTTGGACAAAATGTCGTTACTAAGCTTAACTTGGCTGCGACTAAGAGGACAGATGATAAAAGTAAAGACTTAAAACACACATTACTAATAAGCGTAAGATGGATATTTTTGTACAATCCAATCCTGCATTTGCTAAAAACTACAGTAGATTAGCCTTCTTCCAAAAGTTCAAAACGAAGCAAAACCACCACCTTATAATTGTCCACATTGTTGTTAAGGAGAGTTACATGATTGAGCAGCTGCTGGTGTTCTCATCACTGAAGATATCAGTAGCAGCAGAGTGATGATGATCACCGTTGGGGTGATTATAGTAACCCGGGTGGCTGTCAGTACTCATGTAGGAAGCATAAGGATGATGAACAGAAGGTCCATAGTTGTAGTAATAACCAGTGCTTGAGGGAACGAAAGGCGATCTGTTGTACATCATCTGAGCTTGTTGCATAGCATGCCTGTTTTGCAGGTTCATCAGCACTGATGGATGATGATGATGATTTCCATTTATATTCATCGTCGTTGCTGCTGCCGGATGATGGCCAGCAGCCATACCAGAATTTGGGAATCCGGCAGAGGAAGACGATCCCGTGAATCCATTATTAGGCTGGAATTGTTGATGATAGAGCACTCCAGCAGAACCACCACCATTACCACCTCCAGAATTGCCTCCGAAGACATGAGTAAAATTGTTAGCTCCATTTCCATGAAAACCAGCAAGATTCATCATTGTATTGATGTCATGATTTCCCTTCTTTCCCTCCCCTGGATTGACATTTCCAGCAGCAGCAAATTGAGCATTGTTCATCTTCAAGGCTTGCATTGTTTTCTGATCAATCCCTGAATTGATTTTCGTTCCCATGTTCTGGTTAGGAGATTGCTGATTTCCTTTCTTGCCACCGCTTCCATTTCCACCATTGTTGTTCAATTTAACATTCTTGGCTGCATTGTTGGCTTGAATAGCAGCTAATTGCTGTTGTCTGAGCAGATTAAGCTGATGGGTTTTCTCCCTTAGAAACCTTAACTCCTCTTCATCGTACCCTTCCCCATCATCATCAATCAGACAATCCTCATCCTCCTCTAAGTTGATGAAAAACTTCTGCTGGTTATTGAGAGCCTCAAGACCTTTGACCATTTGTTGCTTTTGACCCTTGTTGTTATTATTACTCTGGTTGTTCTTCAAACAGTTAGCCGGTTGTTTTTGGTTTTGGTTATTATTATTGTTAGGCTTTGGCGACCAGACTTCAGCATGTTTACCAGCTCTAACCAATTTCTTTACCAGAGTTGCTGAATCTACGCATCCTGATACAGTAATTTTCTGTTGTTCTGCATCAATGTTAACTTGGTAGACTCCTGTAGATGAAACAATTTACAATAATCAGTGACCAATAAAACCGAGACTACATAAAGATCTACAGTTATCTCTAGTTGGAAATAGGAAAAGCAATCCAGAAAGAAATCCATGGTCTGGAAGTAACTTAAGAACTGCATTTATCATACTATTACCATCAGACAGTGATAGTGTCAGTATAAGCATATAAAGATTCGAACTTTTTCATCCATAATCACAACTTTAATCATTAAAACTTCTTAAAAGTGACAAATCAGAACAAACAAATATGAGATGACATTTTTATTGGTAAGAAACAATGGAAAAATAAAAGCAACAATGGATAAGAACAGATTGGCACCTTCAATTCTCTGTAGAAGTTTTTTGACCTTCTGCTTGCATCCATCACAGTCAATGTTCACTCGTAAAACACAAGTCTACAATCAAGAAGCAAAGAAGGATAAACCGCGTTAAATAACAAATGGCACCCACAAGCAACAATCAAAGGTGTTTTTGAAGACAACGGGAACAGGACGACCAGAGTACAACAATACCTGGATCTTGAGGAGCTTGAAGTCCTCATCTTTAGCCATTGTTTCTTCCCTGGTGTTTGGAGTGTAGGATCTGGTACAAAATGGATATCGAGATTATTAAAAACAAATACTAATAAACGCCTTCAATAAATAAGTATGATGTAATATTATAAAAAAAGGACACACTTTTGAAAGCTATAATAAAAACAGAGGACAAGAGCACAGATTCTTCTTTTCTACAACGATGTTATGTTCTTATTAACTCCATGATATAAATATGCAAAATGCAGCACATGGGAGGGTGTCTAGAAAAGCCTAACCAAGCAGCAAAAGGAGAGAACTTTAATGCAACAACTAACAAAAACAAAACAGGGGAAAGAAAGCTCCCAAAATTCCCATAATCCCATTACATTATTTACCTAAAAAAGTCAACACCGGGGGACGAGAATCTGTTAGGACAGGAAAAATGGGAAGGTGGGTTGTGCAGAAGAGAGTTGAAAGAGCAGTAATGGAGGAGCAGGAGAGGAGGACCCCGGGAAGAGAATAGTAGGAGAAGAGTTGGTCTGAAATCAGAAGTGATGTGATTTAACGTTAAAAATATATTGAAGCAGAGAGAGGGGGAAGAAAAAATCAAAAAAAAAAAAAAAAATTGAAAGAAAAAGAACAGCGACTTGACAAGCCGACTTCTAATGCCTGTCATCTTTGTCTTTGTCACGTGCTTCCTTTTTGTACTAACTGCAAATGCTTCTACTACACTTCTCCTCATCTCACTGTTTTTAGGTTTGTATTTCTTTATCTTCTTTGATTATCTAAGCGCGGGCGAGTGTGTGTGTGCGTGTTTTTTTTTTTTAATTTATTAATTAGCGTGTGAGTGTGTGTGAAGTAGTGTTCTGTTCTCCCGAGCCTAACGGCTCTTTTCTTATCTGTGCTTTCCCAGCGGCTATTCGGAGCGTTTTCATGACATTTTTTTTTTTTGGTAATGTATGTCTACATTCTTCCTTTTTGTTTGTTTATTAACTGTGTGGTGAATGAATGGAGTGATATAATAGTAGTAAAAAGAAGAAGCAATCGATGAAAAAGAATTGATAGAGCCCAACATAAATGCAATGTCAGTGTTGCTGTCATTTTGAATAGAAGTAGTACTACATTGATATTTTGTTCCGTAGACGGAGTTTGCAAATTATTTTCACTTTTTCAACCAAAAAAGAGTGCTCATTTTATCACCCACAAGGGACACCCTTTTTGGGAAGCTTGTGTGGCCTGGCCTTTTTTTCCCCTCCGATTTCTGTTCCATGGCATTTGTTCTCTTTTGAGGATTAAAGAAAGACTTGGGACTTTGGGAGTTTGGGTTTGGGGGGGCAGTGAGTCCAGCCTGCCCAAAGTACTTACACAACTTTACCTGCACCCCAGATGACAAAAAAAAGGTGAAAATGTAAACAGTACTATTGAGTTATTGACAAGCGTTGAATGTTACACTCTTTTTTTTTTTTTTTGTGAAAATGTATGACCATCGTCGTGAGTTCAAATTTACAACCAAAACTACTTCATTATATAATGTTTTATTTACATTTTACCTACTACCTCCATTCAATTTGAATTTTCAAATTTATACTAAAAATAGCCTTAAACTCAAAATTCAGTGTGGATTATTTTTCTGGGACTAAAAGAGTATTATACATTACATCATTTGCAACTTCAAGTCTTCAACTGAAAAGCTGGTTAATGATGTTCTGTTCTGCTTCACTAATAAGTACTCCTTCCATTTTAATTTGTAAGTCGTTTTAAGTTTGGAGAGATTTTTCAAAATGTAGGTCGTTTTACAAATTCTAGGCAAATTAATGACTATTTTTCTAACTTTACCCTCAATAAATGATGCTAATCTATTTTTATTTAGTATTATTTATAGTTCTAATGTAATTAATGAGGGATAAAATAGATATTTAACATTTAAATTAATTGTTGTATGATTGTCTCGTTAGTTTACGTACCAAAAATCTAAAAAGACTTGTATTTTGAAATGGAGGGAGTACTCGATTAAGACTCTCTTTCACCCAAACTTTGATCTCATGTTGAATGGCCTTAAACATGGTAGCCTGTGTAATGAATTTACCATTGCAATATATATATATATATATATATATATATATATATATATATATATATATACTTAGGAAGTCAAAGGGCTTAGTTACAAAATATTTCGCGTCCAAGCGGATGAATTCAAAACGTCTATAGAAAAAGTCTAGAAATAACTTTCCCAAGCAGCAACTGTGGCTTAAATTGGCCAAGCTCCTCCCGCAAGCCGTGCAAGGCTTAAATTGGTTTCCCAAAAGGCCGAAACTAAAATCCTAAAAGCAAACTTTTGGTAGCAGTTCTGTACACTTTTGTTGCGTTCTGAGTTTAAAAGATAAATACTATTAGCCATCGGCCCATATCAGTCTTATTATTGGGCCATAACTCAGAAGCACTTTCCTTATGATAAAGCCTTCTTCTTGAATATTAAAAGAAAAGAAAAGAAAAGAAGAATGAGCTTGAGTTTGAAATCATAGCGTTTAAAAGCCATGTGTAACGTTGCTTTCAAAAATATAGGCGCGTTGGGAGGGAAATGCTATAAAATGGTGCCATTAATTGATCAACTTTGCCAATCAACAACAGTTTGTTTTGTACTTATGAGCACTAAGGATGTGTAGAAATCTTTCTTCTTTTTCACTAATTGATAGTGATCCATTATGTGCAGGCGTTAAAAAATTGATAGTTGATTAGTAGTGGTAATAATCTTTATCACTAAAATAATTAAAAGTATGTTAAAAGGTAAGAAGCAAAAGTTAGGTGTAGCCCCAAAATTCTGCATCTTTAATTTTTGTTCCTCCATATTGGAGTTGATCACTGTGGGATTATCCCATGTATTCTTATCCAAAGAATGTTTTTTTTCCTACTTTTTGAGACAAGAACTGAAAATTGTCAAACCATATGTTTACAACATTGTAATCTTAATGGATTATCATTCTGTCATCAAGTGCGAAATTAATTAGATTATTATCATTTCTTCTCCAAGTAAGTAAAAGTCATCAATTACTTGTGTGCACTCGCATGTTTTGCTTTTGATACAGTTTTTTCTAAATATAAATTCACCATATCTACATTCAGATTAGTTCTCATTCAATCAAGAAAAGACTTCCTCTAGGAGGTCAAACTCGTAATTTGCATTCATTCAAAAAGTTACAAACTGAACAAAACTACTTAGGATCCATCCATCTAGGTACAATAATATTACATGATTGAACAAGCATGAGGGTTTTCATCACTAAAAAGTGAAGAGTAACGCTCAAGAGGAGCACTTCTTGGGCTTGGAAATGCTTGAACAACATTTCTCACAAAACCAGTTGGTGCCTTCTTGTCGTAGGCCTGCGGAGCATATGGGTAAGACACCAAATTGTATCTGACATATGGCCAAAATTCAGCCTTCTTCCCTGTGCTTAAAACCTTCTTCAACACTTTGTCTGGATCCACGTTTCCGGTCACCGTCACCCGGCTTTCTTTTCTGCTCACGTCCACCGATTTCACACCTGGGAAAACCAAAGGGGACAAATGTTATTGAATAATCTCATGATTTTACTAATAAAACATAACTTAACTATATACAATAAATCGCGAATGATTCAAGCACGAAAAGCTTCTTATTGAAAGTATGATAATAGCAAGGGAGATATAAACAATTTGAATCAACATTAATAAAAATAAATTTATAGGCAACCATAGGATGATATTGAAGGTCCACAAATTAAGTCATGGCAAATATTTTTATTTTTTTTGCATTAATGTGGCTGTACACATCAACTAACGTTAAGTGCTGCAAAACAAAAATGAAACTTCTCCCTTCCAGGCTATATAGTTCAAATTAATTGACATGTTACTTAAAATAAAAACGAATAGAATAATTATGATGAAACTTCTTCTACACATTTTTAAACGTCATTCACTATCGATTTCCTTTGTTCCAAAATTATATGTTAGTAAGCTAGTTACAAAGATGGATGACCCAAATTATATTATAGAAGATGGAAATCTAGAACAAACAAATTAAGGAGAGAAGCCATAATAATCAAGAATGGATATATACCTTTAATGTCGGAAACGGCATTTTTAACTCTTCGCTCACATCCATCACAGTCCATCTTCACCTTGATCTCAACTACCTGCAAACAGCATCAAGAAATTACACATGCAACTGTTTAATTAGTTCATAGTTAAAATGTGACAAAAAAATAAAAAATAAAAAAAGAACAAAAGAAGAAAGAAAAACTAAAACCACCCTTCATACAGACACAACATATCGAGAGAAAGAAGAAGGAGGTGATAAATTATACCTGCATTGGTCTGCGTTTACGCTTCGTCATCCGAGCTACATCTTCAGTCGCATCAGAACAAACCTCTGCGAAGTGATCAAGAAATCCCATGATTTTTATTTAATCTTTGTAGTTAATTGTAATAACTTCAATTTATTTGTCTGAATGGAGGATTAAGGACTTAAGAACTGAAGAAGAGAATATATTGAATTGTGTGTGAAGGCTCTGAAGAGTGGTGGTGGTGCTATTTATAAACGGAGGAAAAGGAAAGTGAAGAAAAAAAAATATATACTATATGGAAAGGTTTGAAAGAGTAAATAGAAAAAACACTATTTGGTGATCAGCAAGCCGGTGGTTTAATGGAAGTAAAGAAAGTGACTGATGTCTGGCAATCATGGGCATCAATCTTCCCAAATATCAGGCCGCGCAACTTGGAATTCCTGTTTTCTTGATCCCCAATTATTAACAACTTATACTACTTGGCACTTCCCATTAACACGGCACTTGGTTAATTATCTGTATAATAATTAAGCTTTGCATCTCCTCCGAAAATGATGTTTTTGGTTCTCTCTTTTGTTAAATTAAGAAGGATGGCAAAAGAGCAAGTGGATTAATTTATTCCAGTATCAAGAATTACCAGGAAATTTTCCTTGTTTGAAAGTTGACCACTCAAATAGCGTCAAAAAGTGGATTAATAAAGGTTATATTTTGGCCAAATAAAAACAACAGTTTGGTAAGTAGAATATTTCTCAGAAAATCCAAACGGTCTCATTCATGGCAAGGGGGAATCACGTTTACAACAGTAAAGTTTAAACATTTCATTTCTTCGTTTGTCTTAAAGTAACATTTTTGTCTTATTTATTGAAAAAAGATATATACTAAAATTTCAAACTGAACCATCATTTTGCAATAGAAGAGTATCAGATTTTTGGTTATTATTGTGCGAAGATAGAGCATTTGATATCATCGAATTAAGGCCATAAAACATTCCCAGAAAGAAGAAATTAAAGAGATCGCAACAAAGCTTGACCCGATAAACTTGGGGGACAAGAACAAGTAGTACTCCTACTAAAATATGAATTTATAATAGTATATTATATGTTGGAGTAAAATGTTCAAATGGTCCCTTATATTTGAGCTTATTTGAATTTACGTCCTTAACATTAACATTTCAATATCGTAATCCCAAACATTATATTTTAACACTTTTTTAATCCCATTTCACTATTTTGACCACTTTTCCGTCAATATTGATGTTGACCAGCTGTTGACTTGCCAGAATCAGGAGTATTTTTATTTTTTTCACTTAATTTGAATTTTCATTAAAATTTAAATTATTAAAAATATTAAAAAATTCAAATTTCATTATTTATCAATTAAAATACTATTTATTAATTTTAAATATTATTATAAAATTTTAAAATTTTTTAAAAATTACTTTTTTATTTAGCGTTTATAATATATATAAATAAATATTAATTACATTTTATTTTTAACACCGAACCCACTATCACTCTAAAATTTTATCGCGTCACAATAACTAATTCGAAATTCAATATTTTTTTTAAAAAAAAAAAGAAAAGCAAACTAAATTTGTTATCTAAATTTTCACCCCCTAATTTTTATCAAGTCAAAAATCCAGCGGGCTCTGAGGAAATGAAATTGAGAGGGTGAAAACCGGATAAAAAATGATTTATTTTAATTTTTGGTCTCAATTGGATATATGATTTAAAATATGATTTAAGTAGAAATTTAAAAAGTTGTAGACATAGTTATTAAAATAAAATAATATTATTTTTACACCATCACCTCCACCACCGCCGTCCCACCCACTGCCGCCGCTGCACCGCCGCCGGCCGGCATTTTATTCAAAATACTAGTCCAACAACTTTTAAAATTTCCACTCAAAGTACATTTTAAATCATACATCCAATTCAAACCAATAACTAATCTAAAAAACTTAAATATTTTTGTCCCAATTTTCCCCTTATAATTTTCTCGCTTTTTTTTTTAATAAAAAAGTTTAAATTTTGAATTAATTATTATAGCCCACTAAAATTTTAGAAATAACTCAGGGTTTATGATGGCGGTAACAGTCAAAAATTTTAGTGTTGTTTTTTTTTAATTTGATTTTTGAATTATTTACTGTAACTCGGTAAATTTTTGAAGTTGCAGTGGGTTGGGGTTAAAACTATTTTTCATCTGGATTTTTCGCCCCCTCAATTTTCTTCTCATCACTGGATTTTTAACTTTGCCCGAATAAAAAATTAGGGGGTGAAAATCCGAATAAAAAATTTAGTTTGCTTTTTCTTTTGTTTAAAAAAAATTGAATTTTAGATTAGTTACTGTAGCGCGGTAAAATTTTAAAGTGATAGTGGGGTCGGGGTTAAAAATGAAACGTAATAAATATTTATTTTGTATCCAACATAAATGATAAATAGAAAAAGTAATTTTTTAAAATAATTAATTTTTAAATTTTATAATAATTTTTTAAATTAATAAATAATATTTCAACAATTACATAATGAAATTTGAATTTTATAGTATTTTTAATGATTTAAATTTTAATGAAAGTTCAAATTATAAGAAAAGACAAAAATACCCCTAATTATGGGAGGTCAACTACCGGTCAATATCAAGCTTGACGGAATAGTGGTCGAAACAGTGAAATGAGACTAAAAAAGTGTGAAAACATGATGTTTGGGACTACGATATTAAAATGTTAATGTTAGGGACGTAAATTCAAGTAAGCCCAAATGTAAGGGACCATTTAAACATTTTACTCTTATATGTTGCTTTCGTTCATTTCAAATTAATAACTAATCATCATCGTGTTTGTTAGTGTTATAATTTAATTATTAAAAAAAAAAGGACCAAAACTAATGGGTTCATTAGAACTGGAACGTCTTAATGTGTCAAGTCATGTCAATTTACGTGGTGTAGTGATTGAATGCAACCTTTGCCCAAAATTGAATTCATCGATTAATTAATTAATTATATATATGGAGCCGGTCAAGTATACATTATTGAGAGAAGTATAAATGATTTTTTTTTCCTAAAATTTTATTAATTTCACCATTATTAATTACCAGATTGTGACCTCCATAAACGTAAATTGTAAAGCATATCCGGCCGATGTGAAACCTTTCCGCTCTCCTCCACTTATTGCATGCCCTTCAGCCGCTGTCGTTCGTCCTAAATAAAGATACTCAATATTCACATGAAATATTTATACTTAGTGTAACAAGAACGAGCAAGATTTTCATGGTATGTAACAACTTTGAATTCATTAGTTAATCTCACACGCACAAAAATATTTATACTAATATATATATATATTTTTGGTGAGTTATTGGGCACATGCTTTCTTGTTAGGCAAAGCAGTAGTCGTTTTATTATGTAATGGCAACATCAAGAACTGGCAGGAATACCACTGGGTACTAACATGGCATATCACGGTACAGGAAGAACAAATGATTAGATTAGCAGACTTTGTAGATTCGGACAAGAGACGTACGTAACATAGAGATTGTGTTCAAGGAAAGATGGAGGAGTTAGATTAATTTCGTCCTTTACTTTTGTGCGTGAATTAACTAACATTAGGGATCATGAGCTTATGGACTAGATTGGCTTTACTTCCAACCTCGAATTGCATCCACCAGTATTTTGTGCATTAAATTGAGATTATCAGTTCGTGGTAGTTCATGCTTGAAACGACCTTATTATGATCAAGAAGAAGAAGAAGACTGAAGACTATTACATAATTCGACCATTCCTCCGCTTTTCCCCTATTTCTAGGGTTTCTTTCTCGTTGGTTATCTTAAACTTTATTGATACAGTTAAAAAAATAAAGAAAAAAAATATTGATATAATAATATTAGTATTAGATATATTTGAATTCAATAATAAAATAAAAGAAAACTCCCTTTCTGGTTAATCTACTTATTAGGTACGTAAAGGTTTAGTTTATGTCCAAGTTTTGTCGTAATTACCATCTACCAAAGAACTACCTTACAGATATTCGAGGGGGAAATATAACTTTTGTTGACATATCGATGTCATAATGTACTAATATACTATTCCCTCCGTTTCATAATTATTGTTCAGTTTGAGTTTTCATTCTAGTTCTTGTATTAAAACTGAAATCTCAAACTAGACAATAATTTTGGAACAGAAGAAGTATCGAGATGAGGATTATTTTGAAAGAGAGAGTAAATAATGTCATCTTCAATAAACCGCCATTTTTGCACACACCTAAAACGAGTTTTGGGTGAATGGATGGCGTCAATACACGTACTCCCTCTACTATAATTTCTGGATTATACGTATATTTGAATTAAAATAAAGTAATTATAGCTCCACGTACGTTTATGAATTGCGACACGAAATTGGTATTTGATCTTCTTATTTCAAGTGGTTTAATTAATCTAAACTTGCTCCTTTGGGTTTATCGACGTGTAATGTACAGGTAATAATTTCTTAGAATCAAGAAAACCCCACGGATTACAGCTGCCACGCTTCGGCTGGCGCAAAGAGCCAAAGGGGGTAGATGATCATGCATTGTTCTTGATCATAATAAAATTTGTCAACTTTGATTCTCAACGCTTTGGTGAATGACCAGTCATTTACCTTGATTGCAAGTTAATTACAGTCGTCAAATTAATATCACTAGCTGTACACGGTTAATCTATGCCAGTTTTCACTCTCCCATCCTAAAACAAAAAGTCATGTTTGTGATGGAGTGCGATACTTTTTATTTGGAGGGTATATATGTTGAGTCCGTATCTAGTGCATCCGGGTATACCGTATACCCCTACTAAACACACGCACTACACGCGCTCAACATTTTTCACCTTTACATTAAATTCACAAACAAAATTGGTTATCCAGAAGTTTACAACATTTATCCACAAGTTGTAAACTGATTATCCAGAAGGTGTAAACTGGTTATCCACAAGTTGTAAATTGGTTATCCACAAGGCGTAAACTAGTTATCCAAAAGGCGTAAATTGGTTATCCACAAGTTCTAAACTGGTTATCCAAAAGGTGTAAACTAATTATCCACAAGGCGTAAACTAATTATCCACAAGGCGTAAACTGGTTATCCAGAAGGCGTAATCTGGTTATCCACAAGTTGTAAACTGGTTATCCAGAAGGTGTAAACTAGTTATTCAGATGTAAAGAAGCAAACAATATGTTAATTGGGGGGCTTCGCCCTCCATGATAAACTAAACGACTCCAGCGGCTACCGGAATCGCAGGTCACCAATCTGCCCCAGCTGTGCCGCCCCGCCGAACACACCAATGTAGCTAAGGTAATCTTTTTTTCGTGTGTGTGTAAGGAGAGTGTGTTATTGCATTAAGAGTGGACACAAATTACTTGTATAAATCCCCCCGTGATAAACTAAACGATCCGGCTGCGCTGGTGCCCGCGGCTGCGCCGCCTTTCGCGGCTGTGCCACCCCCATGCCGAACATGGCAAATTTCATAAATAATATTTAATTGAATGAGGGGAAGTTTGCCAAATGATGGAGAACAAAAAATGAATAAAGGGCAGCTAGATAACCAGTGTAAAAAATACAGACAAGGATATTCAAGAAAAATATAAAAGGAAAAAAATAAAATTTGGCAACTGGTTATCCAGCTGTGTGCAAGTGGTTATGCATAATGTGTACATTGGTTATCCACTATGTCCATACTGATTATCCAACAGGTTAATAATGGTTATCCAGCTGTGTGTAACTGGTTATCCATAGTGCCAACACTGATTATCCACATGGTGAACACTGGTTATCTGTTTAAGAAAAAAAAGAAAAAGAAGGATGAATTATCTAGCGAACTCACACTATTTTAAGAGAGTAAATTACACGCGCAGGGGGTACACGGTGCCCCCGAGTGTACCAGATAATTTGCATATATGTTATTACAAAAGATCCTTGGTCTTTGAATATGCAAATATATTTCCAACCGATGAAACAGAAGTTATGTTAGTAGTAACAGTAATAGTAGGTGGACTAGGCTGAATTCTGAAAATTCATACCAGTTCTGAATCTCTCCATTCAGAAACACCATAATCAAACATCATTTGAAACTGTCATCATATGTACTTCTCAATCCCAAACTCAATAAAGCCTTCTGGATTGAAGTAAGATGAATCACTATGATCTTATTCAGAATGTTATCAGAACAGAAACTTTTCAGGGACAGGGAATTTTGATACTACATTTTCCAAATGAGAAGGTTAATAAAAACGAGCAAAATTCTCAAAACTTAAGGGCGGGTTCCAGCCTCGACTGACTCATTAGCTCCACCTTCTTCGATCCTCTTCCTCGTCTACAGGTGTATACCATGAAGGTCGTTGTTTAGAGTTGCTCAGCCTATAGTTCAAGTATAATTCTTCGTCACAGAGTGATCTAGTGGCAACAAGTACAAGGCTCTTCAAAATCGGAATGTTAGATCCAGCGCTGCCTGATTTCCAAGATTTGAACCAAAAGCTGCCAAACCTTCTCATTTTAACTTCCTCTCCATCTCCAAATGAGATATTGGGAATGTAAGTTCTCATGTCCTTTTCCGTCAACGGAAAGTCATAGGGGCAAACCATCACATTGGGGATCATATCCCTAGCTGGGTGATTGGCATAATGGGCCAAGGCCAGAGGATTTCTCCTCTCCAAGATTTCACCCTTAATTGCCCCAGTGCCATCCAAAGGTTTACTAAGCATCTTCCAAATTTTATCTGAACCCTTGTCAGTACCTTCCACATTAGGCATAGGCTCAGAAACACCAGAACCATTCCATATGACTCGAGATTCACCACCAATGCCCCATGGCTGAGCATTAATTATAGTGCCATCGTACCTAGTGATCAAATAGGAGTTTTGAGCATCTATTCTTGGATATCCAGGAATATACCGATAATGAGCCGGTGAGTACACCACACCCGGATAGAATGCTATGACTGTCCCAACATCAGCTTCGCCATCAATAAATACACCTTTTCCAGCATCCTTGTGGGGAATTTCAGATTGCTTTACCTCAAGAGTGTAACCCAAGAGATCCTTCAACTTCTGTGACACCTCTAAATGGCTTAAAGGCTTTGTCTCTGGAGTAACTGTTCTGAAAAATAATTAGCAATACCATTCCAGAAGTATTTATAATCTGTATTTACTTAAAAGATTGATCCATTCTGGAAGCACCAATTAAATGATCAGAAAAAAGGAGCACAGTTATCTCAACTTTCGTTATGTTTAGAATCCTAACACCAGATTGCTAGAAATTGCTAAATAGATATATCCTATGCGGTGTATGCATTCAACTCATGCAGCTAGGAATAATGGTATGAGACCAAAGGGTGCACATGAGACTTCAAATTTGTGGGTCAAAAGGTGAAGCAGTAAATTGTTCCAAATATTAGAACCTCACATATTGAAATCACTCACCGGGATGACAATTTGTGGGAATACTCTGACCAACAGCGAGACTGAGACCACTACGACGGGAAGAATTATTCTTTTCTTCCACTACTTCATGAGGTCCGCCTGCTGTTTGTATATCAGGAAGAAGAATATCATCCATGGTTGAGCAGAAGGTATTTATTTGAGAATGTATGTTTTCTTGGACCTGCTTCTGCTGATCAGCAAGGGAAGCCCGACTAGCTAAATCAATAATCTCTTCCGCATCAGCTTCTTCGGCATTTTTTCCAAGAAGCTTGTAGCTGAGAGAAGCACACACGCACGTGTTTTAGAGGGAAATGGAAGAACGAAGAAGTAAAATGTGATATCTATGATTGAGAAAAACGAGCATCGCAAAGTGCGAAATTTGATTACTATCAGTAAAGTGAGCATTTGATGGGAAGTCCATCTGCAAAAAGGATATATGAATTAAAGAGGATGCAGCGTTAAGTAAACGCATCGCAATACCCAAGCTTTTAGTGGAATGAAGAACAAATCAAACACACATATGTAATACAAAGGCATTAATATTATCAGAAAGTAAGGAATCACATCAATCACCACAGAAATCAACACAACATGCCAACATTAACTGGGTTGGATAAATTTTTGATTATTGAAATTGAGCATGTGTGATACAGACGCTAACATTGAATTGTCAACAAATCAGTGTCTGATACATTTCTCACCTGGTGTAAAGGAAGAGACGGTTTATATCTGCTTCAAATTGAAGGTGTCTTGGCTCTCTAGCAAATGTGGGACTTTTGGCAAGAACTTTTACAGCCTAAAAGTAGGATGAGTATACCATAAGAATCATAAGTTTCCAATATCATCAGTTTCTAATGCCGTAATATATACCAGAACGTTTATCATATCTAACCGGACAACACATCATATACATCAAAGCATGCAACTTAATCAATCACTACGTCTAGTAAGCCTAACAAACCACGATGACAGCAGTCAAACGACAATATAGACCAACCCAGAGTTCCAGGAACTATCAAAGGAGGGACTTGCAGATATAGATATGTGATTAGATCATTCTACAATTTTACATATGTACAGAGCCAAAGCATGAAACAGAGAACCCTGTGATTAACCTAACTTCTTAAAGAGTTCGAAAGTTCGGGTTTGCTCATGAACATTTACAGTGTAGAACCAGCACCCCACATCACTCACTTATTCGAACAGACATTTTATCAAACACAGAATGGGCAAAAACGCAGAACTGAAATTTTCCAACAAGCAGAACACTGTTCAACAAAAATTAACTGTGAGTCTCATTCTATATTCCTAGGTTGAGAATTCTAAGAGTGAAATTAAGAGTTATACCTCTTGAAATTTCTGAAATAGAAATGCCATTTTCAATTGCTAATATCTCTGCTGACCGAGTTTGACTTGTAGAGAAGAGAGCAAGAGAGGTGGATCCAACGACTCATTTCTTCTATTAATTTGGGCCTCTTCTACTTTTAGCACTAAATTTGGAGGCGATCTTGTCATTTAGCGTATTTTAAGGGGGCCAAACATAATAATACTGCTACTTTCTAACTAACTTTTCCTTGAGCGTATCACTATACGCCACGTGTCCCTCTCCCGCCAAAAACCCACCGTTTCTGAAACCCAGCTGAGCATCCCAAGTTGCAGAGAGCCATTATAAACGGAACTGAACAAATTGAAAGCAAAAAAATTCTCAAGAAACACACAGTCACACAGTGGAGAGACCGTTTTCAGAGAGAAGAAAATGGCCGCCTCTTCCACCGTTGCTTTTCTGGTTTTCATCTCTCTCCTCGCAATCGCCGCCTCCCAAATCGAATCGCCGTCGCCGATATATCCGCCACCGTCCCCTGTATTTCCACCGCCGCCGCCTCCGCCGCCCCAAGCACTAGTCAACGCGGTGGAAACCCTTTCGAATTCCGGCTACACCGCTATGGCTTTAACCCTTAAGCTCATCCTCGAGCAACCTCAGTTCATGTCCTTACCCTCTTCCCTCACCATCTTTGCCCCGCCGGACTCTGCCTTCGCCGACTCCGGTCAGCCTACGCTTTCGCTCCTCCTCCTCCATTTTTCCCCCCTTTCGCTTTCCTTCCAATCCCTTGCTTCTCTCCCGTTTTCATCCACCATTCCTACTCTTTCGAGAACCCCCAGCCCTCTGTTTGTCACCACCCCACCTTCAGAACCCACTAAAATCTCGATTAACAGCGTTAACATCTCGGGTTCCCCTCTCTACGACGACGGTTCGGTGGTAATTTTCGCCGTTGAGAAGTTCTTTGAGCCCAATTTCACGGTCTCCACGCCAGGAGTAACTCCCACCCTCGATCTTGAATGTGTGAAGTTCACCAGCTTTTCTAGGTATTTGGATGCATCGGGGATTCTAAAATCAAGAGGGCACGCATTAATGGCCACTTTTCTTGATTTACAGTTGATGGGATTTGTGGGTTCTGGAACTGAGATGAAATTGACGGTGTTTGCCCCTTCGGATGAAGCGTTAATCGACGATTTCGGGAATGTTCTGGAGTATCGATCGATGTTCTTGAGGCATCTGTTACCGTGCAAATTCAATTGGGTTCAGCTGAATGGGATTACAAATGGGACTGTTTTTGCCAACTATGTCGAGGGGCTAAGCATGAAAATCACAAGATCTGATAATTCTGTGATGGTCAATGGGGTTAAGATCAACGCTCCGGATATCTACGAGAATGAGTATATTGCAATTCATGGGGTGGAGAAACAGATCCCAGTGTTCGATTCATCGGAAGAGGAAGAATTCGAGGAGATATCCATGGTGAAGTTTGCTAAAAAGATAGAGAAGCGCCAGTGCCCTGCCCCTGATCGTAGTGAATTCTAAAAGGTCTTGCTGTTCTTCTTGCATATTATTAACAGCTTTAGGATGAGATTTTTTTTTCTCTGTTTCCACTTTCAGAATGCTGAGATTGTATTCTTTGTTTTTGGTTTTGATTGTAGAGTTTGTAACTTTTTCTTGATGTTGCTACGTGAAAAGCCGGAAACATAAAGGTATATGAGGACATAAAATGGAAGAACTTTTTGGGGTTTATCATCTTCATCTTCCTGCTTTTAGTTTTGTTCTTTAAAGTGTCTTGAATAATTCTTTGCAGAACCATTTTTGGATATTCTATGCTAATCCACTTGAAAATGTATGAAGCTTTCCAAATGCAGAAACATTTCTGTAACATTGTCTTTTCAATTATCATCAGTAACTTAGAAATGCTCATCTGGGATTTATATGCCCAGATATGAGGTTACAACATTTGCATTATAGCAGCCAAGAATGATGATCATCAAGCTCAAAAGTCATGAACTAAATTTCACTAGTATAACATCTCAGAGATGACCCTATAAAATTATGACTGAATACAGCTGAAAACAGCATATAGATTATGGAGCTCAAATTAATGAACATCCTCAGTAAAAGTTCAGAATGTAAATCAAAAAACGGTACAACACATGATGGATTCAGATAATGGTACACATGGAGATCCCTCTCACTGCTGGGGCTTCTGCTGTGGCTATTATACCAAGACTTCTGAAAAAATGGCCACAAACTTTGGAAAGTTTTTAACCTTCTCCGCCCCTTATGGTTATATTCAATCTCCTAAATAAAGAATGGTGAAGCCTGTAACCTGAAGAATCCCCATAAAGAATCATGTCTTTCTTTCTCTAGGTTGCTATCTGCACTGATTTGTCTGTGATTTCCAACTTTCAAGAAGTCCGGTCACGGACTCTGATAACTTCTTCAGATGAGGGCCTGGCTTTAACACATTAACATCACCCCACTGAGAACAAGGATCTGTGAACCAGTTCCTCCGACCCGTGCACCATGCACCCGGTGTAACTCGATTACTACCACGATTGAGGATCTTCTTGTCAACCATGTCCAAAACTGGTTCATTTCTTGCAAACTGTCTTGCAAAAGCAGCACCACTCTGAATTATCCCCTCATAATCTGAGGTATTTAGGAAGTGAGGGTCCATTTTGGGAGGGTTGTCCCAAACCACATATCTCAAATCGCCGTTGACAGTCGTATTTTTAAACTCATCCGAGTTGCAAATAACTGAATGGAAGTAAATTTCTTGAGACAACATAGCATTTGTAACATACATTAAAACTGTACGAGGGAGATTCTCCCAACCAAAAACACAGAACTCAAGGAACGATCTGGTCAAGGTGACCCAAGGAGAACCTGGAGAACAAAAAAGAGTTAAGTAATTGATCAGCACAACCATTCAGTATGAATAGTAAACATCATTCAGCAAGAAAATTGCCTGTGAAAACTCGGAAGGCCTCAGGCATTGGCCTCTTCTCTGTTGCATGGAATATTTGTGTTCTCCTTGCCAGGTATAGCCCGGGATCCACCACAATCGGTTTGATTCTTTGACCCCTGCAAAATATCACATAACACCATCACTTAGGAGTTGCTAGCTGAAAAAAATTTCCATTGAGTTATGAAATAATGGAGAAGATTGGCTTACTCTTTCCACCCGAGGTCACTGGTGTGATCAATGAAATTCAGGTCTCTCCTAACAGATGAGAACACATGGGATAAGTCTGGAAGCAGATTACAAAGCACGTGGTAATCAGCATAAGGTAAGTAAGAAGGCATTCCATACCAAATCAGAAAAGAAATAAACGAGAGAGCTCATTATACCAGATTCATGACAAGTAAACTGTATTCTAGCATACTAGACCAGATCCATAAAAGACACAAAAAGTAATTGTCCACGAGTGTAAATACACCAACAAGAATTACACATAAAAGTTAACCTTGGCCTGCAGTTAGCTTAGTCTACACGGCATGCTAGGGCTCAGTGTTCACTTCAGAAGGAAAAACATACTTGAAAATGAATGCCAAAAATGAAAATTTGTTGCACCTTTTTCATCCTGTAGTTAAGAAAATTTATTAAATCCCTGTTCTTTCTCTCTGAAAATAGCAAATCATGCTGGGATTTTCTCCAAAATTTCAGAAATGTCTTCAACTGTTACTAATCTATAAGAGTTCTAGTCAGGAACAAGAGGCAAAAATAATCTCAAGCGGCATGAGCTTTGACTCAATGCACACCTACACGGCTCTTCGCCAAACATGTACAACAGCAGTACCCCGACCCACCAACGATACAAAGAGAAAGAGAAAACTTATACAAACAGTACTCATGCATAGGCCAGCTGCTGATTCACAAAATATTCAAGTACCCCCAAACAACATATTCATCTAGAAAAATATTAACTCCTCCGAACTTAGAAGTGATCAAACTAAAGGGGCAGAAAACAAATACTTTGTCCAAGTTATAACCAAAAGAAATATATGAGCTAATGGATCGTATGGGGGGAACATCATTACATCACCAATCAATCAAAACTGTACCAGACGGTTGAATGCAAATGCAGGAGAACACATACGACTAAGCAGTAGAAGGTGATCCTAAACAAGTTAACAATCTATCTTTCTTGAAATGGACTGAATCAAAGTACCAGTTCAACTAACAAACAGAACAAGTAGGGGTTATTCCACTGACATGACCAAAAGGTAGAGAACATATTGATTAGACATGTTCCAAACTCCAAAGACTAATGGCATTGGCCATTCAACAATATGAAATAGAGACAAGATTATGCACCCACACTGATTTGTGATTTCTGCTAGAGAGTTTCTAAACAGAGGGAAACAAAAATTGCACAAAAAACCTCTCAATATATCTCTTAGATATGATCATCCCTCCTCACAAAGAAAACCAAAAAAATACGGATTTGCATAGACCATACTGCTGCAAACTTAGCTCAAAACATGAGAAAACACCGGCAATCCTATCCAACTGAAAATAATAATAATAATAATAATAATAATTTTTTTTAAAAAAAGACCCCTTTGCAAATTACTGAAAACCAAGAGGCTACGCGGATTGAGTCGAAAAAAGATTCAAATTCATTAATTCAAGCAGGACTCACCAATCTTGTCACTAAACAAATAGAACAAATCAAAGGGCTCAAGAAAAAAAATGTTTGTACAAGAAAATAGATCAAATCAAGAACATACTAAATTCCAAATAACCAAGTCATACCATCTTGAGTAATTAACGGGTAATCCGCTGCACTCAGTGTGATAAACCAATCCCATCCTGCATCCACCTTCAATAATATAGCAGCCGCCCGTAAAATAGCAGCAATATTAGTAGACCCCATATAAGTATTGGGATCGGGTTTCCCAATCACATCCACATTCCCAAAAGCTCGAGCTGCAGGGACAGAATTCACCATCGCCCACAATTTTCTCCTCTCCATATCCGACCCATCTGCACTAATGTGCAACAGGTACCTATTCCTGGGATGATAAACAGCTAACAAAAGCCTAAAAATCCGATCTGCGTCTCCGTTCCCTCCAAAGATATAGTAACCAAACGCCGGCGGGTGGCCGGGGCCGTGATGGGCTGAGGTGGAAAATGGTTTACTGGAAGAGAAAGCGTAGTAAGAGGAGCTCAACCCACAAATGGAAGAAACAAAAATGAGAAATGACACGAACGCTGCAGTGAAGAGTGCGAAAAGCCATTTCTTTTCAGACCCCACACCCATAATTCTGCAAAATGATCTGAAGAATCCGTCTTGAGCATGGAATGAGTTTAGATTGCTCGAACCAAATGGCTAAAAGATTGTATCTTTGGTACCTGGGATGAAGAAAGTTAGGATTTTGGAGGACATCAATGGAGGCCTTTGGTTGTCTTTTGTCCAGTAAGTTAGGATCTATCGAAATCTTGTCCAAATTTGGAGCGTCTCCTTGGAATCTAGTTTTTTGGGTCAGTGTGTGACTGTGTGTTTTATCACGGGGGTTGAGTTTGAATTCTATGAATCTGAAGAAGGAAAAAAGAGTTTAGGGTTTGTAAAAACTGTAGCTCTAATGAAGAAGAGTGATTTGGATTGGTGGTTGGAGAGATGAACAATGGCAGGAAGAAAATTGGAGACTTTTTTGGTTTTTTACTCACTTTTCTAATATTCACATTCAATCACACTTTGCCAGAACAGAACAGAGAGAAGAAAATGATGATTTCATCTACGTGGGTAGTTTATTGTTGGCAGTACAGTTTTGATGCTATAAAAATCAATTGTAACCAACAAAACAATAATCTCTTACAGTTTTTATTTTTTATTTTGGACATTCACTTGAGTCAAAAAAAGGAAACAAAAAAAATAGTATTATTGCAGATTTTGCTGTAACTACAAGAATTAATTTCTGTTTTCAAATTTTGATACCTTATCGAAAGAATTTTTCAAAAACTGTCCAAATTAAGACATTGACGCATTTACATGTGACACCCCAGATCTGCCCCAAACAAAATGTTATTCCCAAGATCAGCATAACGGATAATATGGTTCTAAAATGGTAAAATAGATTACTCAAATTTATGAAAGATTTTATCTTCGGAAAATACCTACTTGGACTACATTTTAATCACAAAACGTATCATGTATTTCCAAATTGACGATTACGACTAGTATCTACTTATTTCTTCCTCTTCAAATACTTCAATTCTGGTCTAGCATAGGATAAAAATTGAAATTGAAATCTTGCATTTTCTTTAGGCTAACTCTAAAGTTAAACAATTTTCATCTGGAAATGGCGTTAAAAAGAAATGTTGACATGAACTTTTAGATATTTTGTGATTAAAATCATATGTCCGATCAAGGTATTTATTTCTTATTAGAAGAATATTTTTTGATACGAGATTTCTTACACCATAATTTTACACACTTCTTACATAATAATTTACTTGACGCATGGTCCAGAGAGTTCAATTTATTGATAAATTAAAGTGTTAGTAAAATTTTAAAAAATAAAAATAGAGAAATGTTGCAGGATCACGGTATATATTCTTACTCATATTCTTTGTCATCAAAATCTTGATTTTTAAAATACAAATGCTGATTAATGAAATTAATTACTACCATGTCTATAATTTAGTATCATTTCCTTCTTAAAATAGAGATATTTTGACTCTGCCAGGTGGACTTGGGGATTAATGCATGTTATGTTAACGAGGATAACGGGATTAATGTCTTCCCCAGAGAGGCTACCATATTTTATTAGATTTACATGCATTTAGGTTGCAGTATAAATTGATTTAATTTGAGTCGGAGTCTAGTATAAAATAATTTGATTGTTCTTTATTCGCAAGTCAAGAACAGTGTGACTAGTACTCCACATCAAATCCTCAAAATATTCAGTGGTTGGTGTATACAAAATATACTCCTACATTACGGTATATAGTCGAGAGAAAGATTGCCTAAAACAGCTGTATGGATTGTGGAATAATTTAAGGTATAAGAAAGACTACTATACTATAGGATATTAGGATGGAACGGGTAGGCAATATAAAAAGTTGACCAAATAATTGATATATGTGTTTGTTTGACAATCTAGCGAAGAATTTTTTATATATAATATATATAAAAAATAAAAAAAAGCAAAGAAATTTCATGATCCCAGCAGTAGAGATGGACACACACACACACACAAATAGTACTCCTTGTTCTAGAAAAAATAATTTATTTATTGTATAATAATTTAAGTTTACGAATTTAAACCATTTGAGTAATAAATAATAAATAAATCACGACACCTATCAGTTAACAATAATGGATTGGAAGACTGGATGACTATCAAATTTCAAGTTCAATTCAAGGGGCAATAAAAGCGTAATTTAGCCAAAAAAATTTCCTAGAATCCTAATTACTTGTCTCCCCCCGAATGCTAAAACCTTGCCTTAGGCTCCGTTTGATAATCACTGAAGTCTGAATCTGAACACTTAACACTTAACACTGAAGTCTGAAGTCTGAAGACTGAATTTACATTATTTGATAAAAACGTCTGAATTTGATGTCTGAAGACTGAATCTGAATACTCAGGTCTGAAAGTTATTTAAAATTTTAATATCATTAAAATTGAATTATAAATAAAATTCTTTTAAATAAAAAAATAATTAATATTTTGTTCTAAATAATAGAATCATAATTTTAAAATAAATTTTTGGTATATATAATGAAAGTAGATATTACACTTAGTAAATAATCAATATATAATTAAATTTAGATTATTGCATATATATATATGTATACCTTGTTATTTAGCAAATTTCATGTATTAAAATTAGTTTAATTTGAGTTCGAAAGTTTGAGATCTTTTATACTCATAAAATAAATTCAACTTTAAGCACTCTTAATTAATTCATCTAAAGAAAATAAAAATTTTAAAACAATGTAAAAATAAGCATCGAAATAAAGACGAAGGAAAAAAAGAAAAAAAAAAAAGAGTCATTACAAAAACTAAGTGATAAGTGATAAGTGATAGGCCCATCACTTATTTTCTGGCTCACAATTGAACTGGGCATTCAGACGCACTTAATTAATTCAGACAGTGAAATTTTAGTTATCAAACGTACTTAATTTATAAGTACTTAGTTAGTTCAGAACTTAATTCATTAAAACTTTTTAGTAGTAATTATCAAACACACTTAATTTCATTAAGTACTTAAATAAATTAAGTCACTATATTAAGTGATTATCAAACAGAGCCTTAGTCACACAATTACCACGCATTGTCATCTAAAATCTCAAATAATGCCTTAGTTCTACTTCCATTTCTTTTTAAAAAAATTGTATAGGACTGAATTTATATGGAAGTTTTGTCCTCTAAAGCCAAAAACTTTTAAATTAAAATTCTTCAAATCTACAAAACACTTCCAAACAAACTTTTACATGGAACAAATGTATACAACTATACATATTGAAATTTTTAAAGAAACCAAAGAAGTTGTGGTTGAGTGGTAAGAACTCTTCCATCCTTAATCATAGGTCGAGAATTCGAACATCGCCATCGGTATAGAGCAACCTTTAATTCTTTGGCCAGCTCTCTCACCCATCGAGGTATTAGTCACCGTTACTGAAGGTGAACACCCTATAATATAAAAAAGAAATTCTTAAGGAGTCCACGTCCAATAAGCGTAGTGTCATGAACTGACCTAGGTTTGGGATTTAGGATAAAGATTGGGCAAGAATTGATTGAGATACATAATAAGAATCAGAAATGAAGAATTAAGGATACATGATAGAAATTAGAGAGAATCCGGGAAGAAGCTAAAGAACAGAATCTGTTATTTCATCAAAAATGACCAAAGGTGACGTTTACAGACTCAGACTAAGCCTTATATAGGCTGACCTCAACTTTCAGAAACTACACATCAACCCTCAACTATCAACTATTACAATTGAGTCCTCCGGTATGTGACAAACCCCTCATTGTTAAACGATCAATACAAGGGAACAATTCTACATTATAACAACAACACAATAACCAACTATTATGAGCACTTAGAATGAGTGGCACGGAAACCGCAAGACAATAATAGATCAATTGCAGCTACTAGTAACTGAATCAAGTTTAACCATGATTCACCAGCTTCTGAGAACCGTAAGACAACCTAATTGCATATAACTTGGAACATTTCAGCCAATGTTGATTCTGTCCAAGGTGAGATCATTCACATCAACAGCTTCCCAATCAATTATCCACAAAACGCGACCAGATTCCTCTTCTTTCTCAGCATCTAAACAGCACGTAATGTTAAATTCTCGCATTTTACAGTTTTGATTGTGACTTGGCTTATAAAGTTCCCCACATCTATATCGCAAACCATGATTGGTCCTATATTAAATTTCCTGTGGCACCAACTTCTTAACATTACGATTTCCCGGACCCTTGTGACCAGAGAACTTAGCACTACCATTCATAGCACCAGTTCTATTAGGATTGCTATTTTCCTTATCTAACTGATTATCCTTACTAGCTTTATTAACATTATTCTGATTACAGCTATAACCACAAGCAACATCTACATTCCCATAATGTTTATCCCCGCTATTAACAGGCTGTAAAACATTATTCAAGGGAATAGATAAACCAAAATTTACCTAACATGTACCATTCCAGCCAACTTTATGAAGCAATGCCAGGTTCTGTTCCTGATGAATTGTAATGTCAAATGCAACTGCCAAAGTTTTTGGATGCCACATACGAACTGTTGGCCTGAGCTCCTCTTTCAGTCCGCTTATGAAGCTCGAAAAGAAATAAGCTTCTCCCAATTGGCAGTTTTGGCTCAACAACCGGAATCTCAGGCTTTCAAACTGTTCTTGATACTCTATCACGGTTACAGTTTGAACCAATTTGCTGAATTCTTCAACACAATCTTGGCCGCCCTTATTACCAAAACGTTGGATCAAAGCTCCTGAAAATGCTTCCCAGGACAATTTGCCAGTCGTCAATTTGATTCCTAGGTACCAAGTATCAGCCCTTTCATCCAATAACACCTCAACCGCATCCACCCTGACTTCATCCGGAATTTGATGGATCATAAAATACTTGCGGCATTTCCTCAACCAATCTTGGAGGTTGGTTCCAGTGAATTCTGGCAAATCTATCATCGGTTGTTGAATCCAGACGTGCTCCTGGTAACCTCCTTGTAGGGTGTGACCCGGTTGACCCACCTGAGATATCGTGTAACTCGATTGACGTGTACCGCCAGTGCGTGGATCCAAATTCGGGTTATTACGTACCGGATTAAGAGAAGTTGTGGGTAAGAAGATCTTTTCCGCCATCGGACTGACCTGTAACCTTTCCAATTCCGGTTGATTGGTCAAGATCGGAGGTTGACTGACCTGGAAGACAGGAGGAATTGTGATGATATTCGGCGCCTTTTCCGGATTCATGTACTGCTGCACTTCAATTCTTTCCATTATCTTCATCAACCGATCAAATTTTGACTCTTGTTCTTCTGCCATTTTGTCCATCTTGGAGTCCAGATCTGAGAATCGACATTCTAGGGTTTCAACTCGAGCAGTTACTCCGTCGATTTGAGGTGTCGACTCCTTGCTAGACTATTCAACAATTACACTTGATCTTGTCATCATTCTGAATCGAATGAGAAATGGATTTTGAGAGAATAAATTGAAAAAAATGAGTTTTCGTAACTGAAGACTTGGAGGAAATCGGATCAATTTTTTAACCAAGAACCATTTAGCTCTGATACCAATTTGTCATGAACTGACCTAGATTTGGGATTTAAGATAAAGATTGGGCAAGAATTGTAGAAAAATTAAATAATAAATAATAAATGTCCCATTCTAGCATACTTTTTTATATTTTCAATGCACCTTTTTATATTCTCAATAAAAAAAACCCAAAAACACACACTGAAAAAACGATCCAAATAGATACAGAAGAAGAATCAGAAATGAAGAATTGGAGATACATGATAGAAATTAGAGAGAATCGGGGAAGAAGCTAAAGAACAGAATTTGTTATTTCATCAAAATGACCAAAGTGACCTTGACTCTGACTAAGCCTTATATAGGCTGACCTCAACTTTTAGAAATTACACATCAACCCTCAACTATCGACTATTACAATTGAATCCTCCGGTATGTGACACGTAGTTTATTTTCATATATAAGTTCATCAAATCCTTTTAAGCCCAAATTGACAACTGCCCAGAAGCCCAAATCGCTTAGTTACAAATTATCTTATCCTCCCTCATGGACACGTGTTTATCACCATTTCAGCCCGCACAAGACAAAAAAGATATCTCCCCATTTCTCAACCGTTAAATACAATTTGCCCGGGAAATTATCAAAACCCGACCACTATAATCCGCTTAATCCAGTACACTTTCATCTGAAAACGACGCCGTGTCAACTCTGTTATCCACACACAGTCACACACTCCCGCTACTATACTCAATCACATTCTCTCCTTCTTTGCTGATATTATTGCCATCTCCGCTACTACTCGAGAGAGCGATTGAAACGTGAAGGAGTAGCAGAAGAGAGAGACGATGTTGCTAAAAATTGGCGGGAAAAATGGTGGCGGAGTAGGCCAATTGCTGGTGGCAGTCGCTGCGGCTTTGCTCGTCCGCTTGTTTTCCGGCCCGGGACCGGAGCTCTTACCGGAGTCCGAGCCCAACTATGTTGATGATGATGACGACGAGAGAAATGAGGATATTGATAAAGGCGATGCTCCGGCGACAGAGAAAGTTCCGCCGGTTCATCTTAAGTGGACCAACATCACTTGCTCTCTCTCCGATAAATCGTCAAAATCAGTATGTTCTTACTCTTTTATACTCAATTCCTCATCCATCGAAGTTGTTTTTCTTTTCCCCAGTCACAAACTATGATTTTTTATTCATTAGAACTTGCATTTACTAGTTTTTTCAGCATTGTCAGTGATCTGTTGTGTGTATCTCTTCAATACTTTATGTTGTGGATACTTTTATTACCTTTTGCTCGCGTGAGAGTTTCTTTTTTTGTGGTCTTGAATTTCATTTCCGAACTGTCGATTTCTCTCTTTAAGTTATGTTCTGACTACCAGAAGTGCGAGGTCTGAGCATGTTAGTTGACCTTAGATAAACTTTATATCAGGAATTTCATGTAGGAAGGGTATCAATGAAACTGTTGTAGCTTAAACTGATTCACAGATACACATTGCTAATTATTCTTCAGTTCATTGTTCTTTGGCACTGTACTGATTATTGAATTATTTCCGTCCGTTTGGAATACCAGGTAAGATTTTTGTTAAGTGATGTCAGTGGAGAAGCACGGCCTGGTAGGTTACTTGCTATAATGGGCCCTTCTGGATCAGGGAAGACAACACTACTCAACATTCTAGCTGGTCAGTTGGCGGCTTCCCCAAGGTTGCATTTATCTGGAATTTTGGAGGTCAATGGACAGAAAATATCACAGAAAGCTTATAGGTAAGCTAGTTTTATGCGGATGCTTTATATTCGTAAGCAAATGAAATCCTCCAATTAGTCATACAAAATTTATTCGTATATCAGATATCGGTATTAAATAAGATCTTCTGGTACAGGTCTGCTTATATCAGACAGGAGGACCTTTTCTTCTCACAGTTGACAGTTCGAGAAACATTGTCCCTTGCAGCTGAAATGCAGCTAGCGGACATATCCTCTGTTGAAGAAAGAGATGAATATGTTAATAAGCTCTTATTCAAATTAGGTTTGGTAAGGCAAAAGTGTCGAAGGCTTTATATATTGTCTCTTAAGACTTAAAATTGTGACATATAGCACATATGACTGTTACTATATGTTGGTTTGTTTGCATATAAATTTTTACATATCAAGAAGACAAAAGACCGTGAGTTGTAATTTGAGCTAAGTTTTGGGATCATTGCCTGTGTGTGCTACATTCTTGTTCTTAGGATCAATTTAATCAACTAACTTATGAATTTTAGTTTAAAAGAGTTTCCATTTCCCTCTGATATCTTTGGTTTTTTATTCTTCTTTTTCCCCCAAAAGGTCAGTTGTGCCGATTCCCGGGTAGGAGATGCAAAAGTGCGTGGGATTAGTGGTGGAGAGAAGAAGCGACTGTCACTGGCATGTGAACTTATTGCTAGTCCATCTGTTATCTTTGCTGATGAGCCCACTACAGGTACTATTTGGTTATTATGTTGTTGTGATCGTTTTATGTTGTGAGGAAGATTAGCTCGCGAATTTCAATTGCACTGAAAATTTGTTCAGTATAATTCTTACTTCTAACAAGTGCTTTATGGTGTTGTTAGGACTTGATGCTTTCCAAGCGGAAAAAGTGATGGAAACTCTACGAGAGCTTGCATTAGATGGACACACTGTAATTTGCTCCATTCACCAGCCTAGAGGGTCTGTTTATGGAAAATTTGATGACATTGTTCTTCTGACAGAAGGTTCACTTGTGTATGCTGGTCCAGCCCAGGAGAAACCATTGGACTACTTCTCTAAATTTGGGTTAGTTCCATTTATAATTTCTTGAGATGATCAATCTGTTGTTAATCATTCCATGGTCTGTGTTCTTTCTTACCCTAATTTCTCAAACATAATTTAGATCATTTAGTAATGACCATTACCAAAAATAGTGTTGTAGTCCTAAAATTTAGTATTTGTGTATATGAATTGGTAGTATCCCCTCCTTTTAAAGTTGAGGGTATTTGTTAGTATATGGATTGTTAGTATTTGTTAATAATAAGCTGCACTTGGTGGCTTCTTTTATCATGACCTAACAGGGCTCCAGTAGCTTCTTTTACAATGTCTATATATATATATATATATATTAATATTTTTGAAGAATTCAGCTGATCTATATAACTGGAATTTATTCTAGTGCATGAATACTGAATCATTTCAATATAACATGACAGGTATCTCTGCCCAGATCATGTAAATCCTGCTGAATTTTTGGCGGATCTGATATCTGTGGACTATAGTTCCGCTGACAGTGTCAGTGCTTCCCAGAAAAGGATAGATGGTCTTGTTGAATCATTTTCCAACCAACAAGAATCATCCACACTGTTTGCAACTACCCTTTCTGGGGAAGGCGAGAGCATAATGAACATACGGAAGAAAACAACTGTCAAAAGGAAAGTTGGTTGGTGGAGGCAGTTTTCTCTGCTCTTTAAGCGGGCTTGGATGCAGGTATTTTTGTGATTGTTTTATTTTCTAGTTTTACTTCTTTTCTTTTTTTTTTCAAGTGGGGAGTCTAACAGTAGGTTGCCTAGCACTCTTTCAATATTACACCGGGTGTGAATAGTGGTAAAGTAGGCATTGTCAACTGTTAGGAGATTTGTCATTTGGAAACTGAAATTTGCTTTAGTGTTTCAACTTGGGGTATGGCCACGGAATTCATTCTCTTATGTTATGATGAGAACAGAAGTTTTTGCTTTTGAATGTTGAAATTTGTTTGTTTGTGAGTTTGAGTTTTCTATATGATGCCCTTAAGGTGGTTCATTTTATTTCAAATGCAGGCTTCTCGTGATGGCCCAACCAACAAAGTCCGGGCGAGAATGTCAATAGCATCAGCTGTTATATTTGGTTCTGTTTTCTGGAGAATGGGAAGATCACAGACATCAATCCAAGATAGAATGGGATTGCTCCAGGTAGCTTCATGAAACAGGATGAAGTATGCATTCTATCTTCATTGCATCTCTAACACATTTTATTGCATTACTCGTCATAAGGTCGCTGCTATAAACACTGCAATGGCTGCACTCACAAAGACAGTTGGTGTGTTTCCCAAGGAACGCGCAATTGTTGATAGAGAGCGTGCCAAGGGATCTTATGCATTAGGACCATATTTGCTATCAAAGTTGTTAGCTGAGATCCCTATAGGAGCATCATTTCCATTGCTCTTTGGCACAATTCTCTATCCAATGGCTCGACTTCATCCAGCTTTGTCCAGGTGCTTTCTCCATTTCAGTAATTTGGAATTGTATATTTTATTTCTTGAAAACTTAAGAAACTGATTGGAGGGACAAAGTGGTTGGAGCATGTTTCATTTCAGATTTTAGCCAAAAAGTGAAAAATATAAATAAAGATTTATGGTTATTTAAAAGGGTAACTTGAAACAGTGGGGAGACTTTTTCTCTCGGTGGGTCTATTTCGCTGAAATACTGGGTGTGGGTTGAAGGATGAATGAATCTTTTAATCACTTTGATGTTAATGTTAGCTTATTAAAGTGTTTTTGTTCTCTCTGATTGAGAATTTTTTGCTCTGTAGGTTCGGGAAGTTCTGCGGCATTATTACTGTTGAGTCTTTTTCTGCTTCTGCCATGGGTTTGACCGTGGGGGCCATGGTCCCAACTACAGAAGCCGCAATGGCCGTGGGGCCATCTCTTATGACTGTATTTCTTGTATTCGGCGGTTATTATGTCAATGCAGAGAACACGCCAATTGTGTTCCGATGGATTCCTCGAGTTTCGCTCATAAGATGGTGATTCTGACTGTCTTGTGATATGTTTTGCATGTTTTTCACAGAGTAACTGGACTGACATCATGGTTCTACTGATTGACTCTGTGATATTGTTCATCTGCCATTTCCATTTTTTCAGGGCATTTCAAGGTCTTTGCATCAATGAATTTAAGGGTCTTCAATTTGATCATCAGCAGCCATTTGATATACAATCTGGGGACCAAGTAAGTGAGGTTCTTTATTATAGCTTTACTTTGTAGGCGTTGAAAGGTGAAAACAGATTCTTGGATTTAATAGTGACGAAGCCAAGCTTCATAATTGGATATAAGTGTCACCAAATAGTTCCTTATCTATTATTCTTCAGGTTGTGACTCATAATTTTGACCCTGTCAACCATATTGGTTATGGGTTTACTTTTTACATTTACCTGAGGAAATAATTTTCTTCCGATTGAAAGAAAGGCCCCAAGTGACATCTTGGCTTAATTAAAAGACGGAATTACATTCATCCTCATTACCTTGTCTTGATTTCAATATTCTTTTTCGTGCTTTCTTTCTTTTTGTATGGTGATTGTTAAGAAAATTCGCTGTCTTTATGGAATGACACTGCAATACCAATTTGTAGGCACTCGAGCGATTTTCCTTTGGAGGCAGTTCTATCAAGGAAACTGTTGTAGCTCAAAGTAGAATACTTCTGTTTTGGTATTACACAACATACCTGCTTCTGGAAAGGAATAAACCTAAGTACCAAAAACTTGAGCAGCCAGTAACTGATGATACTCAAAAACAGCTAGAGCTAGAGCCACTCGAAAGTGATCCAGAACTAACATACGAGCAAGTTGAATCTCCTCTTCCTGACCAAGGTAAACCTGAACAGGAGCTCGAATCTTCTGCTCCTGACCCTCTTAATCTGTTTGACCTAGAAGGTTTTTAGTTACTTGGGCATTCACGATGTTTAATGGAAGATATGGAAACTTGTCGTTGATCTATCTCGTACAGGTACTAATCTAACGGAGATGACTGCAAAATAGAGGAGTCCTCATGCTCTCTTTTTTTTGACATAATCCGCTGTAAACTAGAACAAGTACTAGATAGCTACTGTACTCTTAATCTCTTATTAGTCTTGGTTTACAAAGTGTCAATGTGAATAAAATGTGCCATATGATTGACAGAGCTAGAAAGTCTTAGCATATCAGATACGTATATTTTCATGGATTTTTTATGTTAGACAAAGGCTTCGGGATTTCTTATGTCAATTTTGATCTCAGTTGAGTTCAGTCTTTGCAAGGAAGCTTCAGCCCGCTTGTTTTATCATATGAGATGATTCTTATGGATTCTGATGTGACGGTATTTACATAAAATTCGGTGTTTGTTTTCTTGGCATCATTTGGACAATTCCGTTTTGTCGGAACCTTCTTGATGATAATCCGATGATAGATGTGTTTTGCTTTTTCTCTGATCATGTATTTCCTAGGAAAGTGTTAGAAACCTAGGGAGCAGTTTTCCGTAGGAGACTTCGTCATGAAGAGGAAAAAAAATTTGCGGGTGAGATTTTTTTTTTTTTTTTATAGAATATCGCGTGAACTTGTGTGGAATTGTCTTCTTCATATCAATTTCGGAAGAAAAATGGTAAAAATCTGTCCATCCTAATACCGTAATTCCAGTGGAGGACGAGCATTTGGCACAACCGAAAAGAGTTGTTCATTCAGGCTAAGAGGAACAATTGTTTATTTTAACTAATTTTTTTTTTGTTTTTTTGTTTTGTTTTGAAAGGGTTTAACTAAATTTTGAAATGTTAAGGATTGCTCATTTGTTAGAAGGATCTTCTAAACAGAAGAAGAAGACTTTTAATTTAATTTTATTTATTTGGTACAAACAGGACTTCTGTTAATTTTATAACACAATATGCGAATGTGTCTTGATTTGCATGAAATGGATTGACTTTGGCATATCATGCGAGTATAAGAAACTCTAACTAAATTATGTTATAATCACGAATTTAACTTTACGGCATAACATGCAGCTTTGTATGTAGCCCAGCTGCAATTTTCCTACTACTCACCAGATCAGACCCTGCAAACAAATTATAACCACCCTTTCTCCGGGGCTAACCCAAAGATCATGACTTCTTTACCTACTAATTTTATTTTCTTCAGGTGTTTGTTTTTCCAGTTAGTCTCTTTTAAACCTCGTTTTTTTGCTTTGATATTATATTTATTTAAAATATTTTAATAAAAGATTGTATCAATCAGGACAAATATGAAAAGGAACACGATAAACAATTGTAACAACCATCATCATAATGGAAAGTGTTAAAGTTTTTTAACCAAGTCCCGCGTATTCTTTTCGAGTATGTTTTTATTGGGTGTTCTTAGAATTTGATCACATTTGTTTGGCTGGCCATATGATTTCTTAATTATACTTCTCTAACTAAAGTTAATAAAAGCATGGGGGTGAAATTCAGTAAAATTCCTCACATTATACTTCACATTCCTCACATTTTAATTATACTTAATTGTACTAAAGTTAATTATACTTCACATTCCTCACATTTTGTGAAATTCAGCTCGATACGTGTGGGTAACATTGTCTTTCAATAAAAGTGACAATGGGAAAATACAAAATTCAAAAATAACGGTACATGAATTGACTCACGAGATATTGAAACCGAATAATTGACAGAATTGGTAACGTATTAGATGTTTAAGTTCTAACTAATTTGAAATTCACTAATAATTAGAGATATCATGCATACACGCATACATTTCTAAATAATAATGCAGTGTGGTGGAGTTTAAAAATCTGAACTTCATGAAATCCAAAGACCAAATCAAACTCAAGAATCAAGAGTACTCATGCCATGTAAGTGTGAAACTACCAGCAGACGTCAGATAAATGCAATTTTTTTTTTTGTAGAAAAATTTATTTTGGGAAATGCAATTTCCCAACTATCTTCCTATACGTGAATCGAGCATTGCTGGGTAGTGGCGAATATTTTATCAATGATGAGGGGGTACTTACCTCCAAAAACAATGATTAAACTGTACTTAATCTTTTAAACAATGAAGTTTCTTGATTGCTCCGTGGAAATACTTATAAAGTTAGTATTGAAACCCTTGAATGATATGGCCTTCATGCGTGGTGCGGTAATATAGTATTGTCTTACTTCCAAAATAATTATTCAATTTGAATTTTATTTAAGTAAAAATAAAAATTCAAATAATACAACCATTGAGGAATACTATGTCGGTTTGCTCCTCGTTATCTCCATTGGATTGAGACAATCATTGGAAATGGTAAAAGCTCTCACCTATTGTCATTGATCCGCTGATTGCTTTATTTTTTTTTAATATAAATCTGTAAATGCATTGGATCAAGATCTATCTACATTGAGTCTTGATAATCAATCCCTTAAAACGATGCGCCGCCCTAGCCGATCCCAACTGCCTCCGCCGGGTTGATTAAAGTTACACCTAAACCGTCTCTAACAGTAACTTCTGCTTGTGTTGACGGAAATAAGTGCGACGTATTTTTTGTTAGCCAATAAGTACATTGTACTGCATAATATAATTCGAAGGAATTAAACCCTTAGCTGAATTTTAAAATTGACAAAGTTCATTATTAATGTAACAAGTAAAACAAGAGTTTCAGGTTTACTATTCATCATTAGATTTCTGGCCCAAAAAAAAGAAAAAGAAAAGACGAAAAACGTTCATTCTCTAATAATGGCTAGAAAAAGCTGTTAAATGAAAAGGACTTATATGAATCTGAATAAAGATTACTTACGAGATTAATCTGATTATGATTATTTTATGTTTCTGACTTGATGAAATGCCAAGAACTTTAGGCTTTGTTTGTTTCATTTTGTTTTATAGTTTTTTCAAATTAATATATTAATAACTGTCCTATTCTAACCTGTACTTTTTTACATTTTTAATACAAAAATACCTAAAAACACATATTAAAAAAACGAAATAAACATACTGAGAAGTACTGATGATCACATGGTTTTGCATCTCGTTGAGGCAGGTGTCGCTTTCAGGAGAAGGAAAGGAGCACTTTCATCGTATTTAAGCTCTCCAAAAACAACGTAGTTACCAAGAAAATCACTAGGAGCACTTTCATCGTATCCAAAAACAACGTATTTTAGCTCCCCACCGTTTACCACTTTCTGAGAAACACGGTTTCGCCGCATAAAATAATATCGGAGTCTGTTTCTTCAACTAATCATCATCCATCATCAATAATTAAGCCCAAAAAGTCATAACCCCTGAAGATTCTCCCAAGTTGACATCAAGTTTCTTCTTTTTTTCCTTTTTGCTATAAAAATAATCACAGCCCTCAAATCCTTTGTCCATCAATTCATTCCAAATCCAATTAGTTCAATCCATTTCCAAAAGTTTTCTTTCAAATATTCCAACTTGATTCAAATTTAGTTCAGACTTCAGACATAAACTAAACAATGGCAGCATCAATTTCAGCTTCTTCTTCTTCTTCCATTAACTCCCAATATCTTGCAAATTCAGTACCTAAGCCATTTTCTCCAATTAGCAGAAGATCAAGATATGGAGCAAGAACAACCACATTGGCAATGAGAAGAAGATCAGAGGCAGGTCATCATCAAGATTATAACTGTGGGAGCAGCAGGAACATGGTGGATGAGAACATGATTGTGTTGAGGAAAAGGATCCATGAGATGAAGATGGTTGAGAGGAATTACGAGCCGCCTTCTGAATGGATGGACTGGGAGAAGAGTTATTACACCAGATATGATTCCATGATCTGTGAAGCTGTTGGGATCCTGCAATTGATCTTGATGAACACTAGGCCTAGCTTAGCTATTGGGATGATTGCTCTGTTCTCCATGAGTGTGCCCACTTCCTTGTTTGTGGTCATTTCTCAGTTGATGGGCTTTACCAATGGAATTTTGGCTCATGGGATTCCTTTATCTTGATTCATACTACAATTTGCTGATCTGCTCTTTGCAAAGATAGGATGAACTAATGGATTGAGCTTAATTTCAAGCTCTGTTCTAGCTTCAACAGCAGCTTTGAAGTTGAATGCTTTCCCAAGTAAAGGAAAATTTTATTAGAGATGAGATGCGATTTGTTTATATGTTGTAGATTGATCATTTTTGTAGAGATTTTTTTTTCTCTTAGAGAGGCTTGGTTTTGGGTCAATTTTGTGTGTGCCAAAATCAAGTTGCTTCATTCATTTATGTGATCACATCCAATTATTGTGAATGAATTTCAAAATTGCTATTTTTCCATCTGCTTAATCAGCCTTCTACTACACAATGTAAAGAAAAATCATCCACGAGACATCTGTTATGAATTAAATTGGTTTTTTACAGAAATGAGAACTAGTCTAGCGTCTAGATCTAGAGGAGTGATAAAGCCCAACTAATACTGTATATGGTCTGGTTTGGTTTGGTCTGGTCTGGGTTTTTTCTTCTTGGATTTGGAATCGCGCCTGCTTGAAATGTCATCCAGATAAGATCTTACAAAAATATATGATTAGGCACATGAACATACTGTTTGTAGTTCTATTCTTACTGTTTTTCCCTACCTATTACGAATAAGAATTCATCTGTAACAGCGTATAGTTTCTGTCAAGAATAATATGTTAAAAGCGTGTACCAAACCAATTTTGTGACAGAATTGAAAATCACCAATACAATTACATAAACTTGCTAAATGAAGCTCCTGTATATATATCTCCCCCCATTGCCCAAATTCGTGGAGATGAATTCTTATTGATTAAAGGAATTTACTTCTAGAAAATGCAAACTTGACCAACATTGGACATGGAAAAGAAGTTTTGTGCCGAAGTGATGAAGCGCCTGAGGCAGGAGGAATGGAGGATCAATCAGTTTGGGGCGGTGGAACCCGTTTCTGAAGCTTTTAGTCCCACATCGAAAGCCGCGGAGAAGCCTGAGACAGAGAGACCACTATAAAAGAGCAAACCAGTTACTTGAACAAGCATACCTTTCTCGGCCTTTTGGCTAAGATCAAGTGTAGTATCTGTTCTTATCAGTTTAATATCTGATACGTGGGCCATCGGCCCACATGATATTAAATGAATTTTTTTAGGGGGAGGGCTCATCAAGGTAGCTTGCTGCCTGGGCCTTCAAGCGTCGCCCTTGCGTTGCACTACTGCTTGGGCCTGGCGCACCCCACCAAACCTCAGTAAAGTATAATATGCTTAACTTGCCACAATTTTTTAATTCTGTTTGGTTAATTTAATTATAAGCCTGCTATGATGAAATGCCTTAAAAGAAAAAGGAAAATAATAAGCTTAAGAAAGAAAGGGAGCTCCCTTCAGTCCAAGACGTGACAGAAAACTGAAAACAGCTCCTGCATCATTTGAGTCACAATAACATCTCAATTTCTTCTCCATTTCAGTATTTTCTGCTGCTGCTCTCTTTTGGTTTTTGATGAATTTATGAATCAATGAGTCAGCAGCTGTTTATTCAGCCCTTCATCTGCCTCGGACTGGACTGAAGAGAGCTCCTTTTACTTGAAAAAACCCCACCAAAATAACAAGTAAACCCACCAAAAATAACAAACGAAAAAAAAACAAACACTCTGTCTAAATGTTTATGTTTTTGTGTAGGGAGAATTCATTTCCCAGGGAGGGTGGAAGTTGGCAGGGGATGGAAGTAAAAGGATGGGATTCTATATATACTAATATCCGAAAAAGAAAAGGGGACATGAAAATCCATGAAGATCTATATATGTACTATGAAGACTCAGATCGATGATGAAGAATCCTTCTTTTTTTTTTTTTTTTTTGGTGCATGGAAGTAGTAGTACGTTGATTTAAGTGAGGGACTGAAAACTCAGATTGGGTGAAACCTCTTTAAAATGCTTCGTACAAAGTAGAGAACACTAAAACAGAGATGCAGCAGGGAACATCCAATCATCCAGCTGTGTGGCTTAGAGTACTATAATTTGGCATTCCATTTGGATTTTTTCACATCTGTATCTATGTCTACTTGTTACCAATAATAGAAAGGAATAATTCAGGAAACATGATATGCATCACCAGCTAAAGGGGAAATCAACAAAAAGGGTGTTTGATTTGATCATTTTCGTTATTAGGCTTGGTTAGTACATAACACAATTGATTGTCATTTTTCGAATTGCAGTAAACTTCTCTATTTCAAACATGTATGCATAATTTGTGCTTCGCTAGTAAACGGACGACAACTTATTGATCAATGTCTCGAAATTATTGTCCATTTTGAATTTTTTAGTTTTGATACAAATTAAATTAAAATGAAAATCAAAACTAGATAATAATTTTCGATAGAGGGAGGACATATGATTGACACATACAAAAAATGAGACAACATTCGTAACAAAAAGGATCATAGGAAATTCCCACAAAACTGAAGCCAGAAGGGAGAAAAAAGTAATCTACTTGCAGCTCAAAATCAACAAATGCTATGATCAGTTTATATGACGATCTTCGCATTGTTATATCTCCACTAATAGTCCTTAGTTTCTGTTATAATGATGTATTTCACGGTTAGGCAGTTAGGCTGAAGGCAACGGGAACAAATGAAAACACGGAACCAGTACAAAGTTTCAGAAATCTGTAATGTGTTTGAAACTTCCTTTCATTGTCTATGTGTGTTTTTTTTTTTTTGGAGAACGTAAAGAAGTAAATTGAGAAGTTTAAAATATAAACAGTAATTGAAACTTGCATATAATATGCTCCATCTTTTGCGGCTAGGATGTTAACCCAAGTTGCAGGTTCGTCATCCCAACTGATTATCTGTTCGAAATCCAATTATGTACTCCCCGTCCCAAAATTAATGTCCAATTTGAGATTTCATTTAAGTACAATTTGAACTAGAAATGAAAATCTAAACTGGACAATAATTATGAGACGGAGGGAGTACTTGAAAGTTTCTAGTTTCCCAAATTTGGATGTACGATCGAAGACTAAGTTGAACTGGCCTTTCTTAGGCTAGGGGGGATACTGATCAAAATCGTCCTTGTTCGCAGAAGAGGAGATTATATTCTTGAATCTTAAAGTCTCTCAAGTCTGAACCACATTTTGATGGATTGGATGACTCAATTGTGAGATGGACCTTTGAATGGAGTGAATATTTTCATCAGAATCCGACAAACTTGAGGGCTCTTGAGCTTTCATTTCATTTGTCAACTCACACAGCTCTTGGTTGCTTTGCTGGCCTTTTAAGTAGATATATCTTATAGCTGTATATGTTTCTTTGCACCAAAAACAATCTGTGGGGCTCCCATTGGTGTTCATGAAGGGGCTTTGCGCGTTAGCAGTTTGCAACTCATGGATAGGCAATACTGGGAGGTTGTGATGAAGTGTGTCTAAAGAGAAATTAATTTTCCAACCGATCGTTTTAGTTATTCTGGTGGTGTCGAATTTAGGAGATTAGACCTTAGCTACTAGTGATGTTGCAAAGTTACAAATTTCGTGTTGTGTATTCACATGATTAATAAGAATTTTTAGAGTAGAATTGTGATTCAAATTAATCGAGTTATGTCGTATCGGATTATCTCCGTAAATCGTATTGTCGTGGCGGAAATTGACACTCTCAAATTGAGAATTACTTTACTGGATCGGAGAGAATACATTTGTTCTAATTTTTGAAAGCTAAACCACTGTCTGTATAAACCGCTTTACGATCACTTTTATCATTAATCCATGCAACTAATTAATAATTCATTATCTATAAGATATCTTAACTGTTAAAGTTAGTTAGTACTACTTCATTTGGATCAATTCCTCATGACCATGAAAGAACGTCGTATTTTCATTAATTACTTAATTTTCATTTGATAAATTAATTTGGTATACGACTTTGTTTTATTTGTCTTGCATAAAAGTTTACGGGTAAAATTTTCCTCTCTATGGTCATACTGTTGAGGCCAAACCCTATGATGAACTTTCGATTTTACTGAGAATCTGTTACTCAAATTTTGTATATATGGTAATTCCTCTGAAATATTTACGCTATTACCAATGAGTTTACCATATCAGAATTGATGAGGCTCTTGACGTCATTTATATATTCATCACTAAAATCAACTGCATTTTATGATGACTTGTTCATCTTGTTTACTCAAACCATTGTCAATCCTTTATTATGATTGTCATCTTGTTTAACCTCAATATGTGTCATGAATACATCCATTATGCACAATCTTTTCTAGGTTTCACAATTTTATTTTATTTTTATTCTTACATATATAAGCACGCCCACCGTTACAATGCCTAGCTTAGACATGTACTCAAAATCAAGCCTAATGACTTAAAATGCCCGCCGTTTTAGTACGCAAACCCCACTGTTTTTGGTCGTTTTAACATATTTCAGGGAGCTATTAGACAAGGAATTTGAATCATCATATCGTTATACCAACTGGTTTAAAATAGAACAAAAAAATAAAATAAAATAAAATATAAATTGCTGGGGTTCGCTGACCAACTAATTAATCCCCTTGATTTCTCCTCATTAATAAGCCCCGTGAGGCATAAAAAATAGTTTGGATTTTTTTTAATTTTTAATTCAAATTATACTAAAAATAAAATTTTTAAATTGGACAATAATTTTGAAATGAAAATTATAATAAGAAAACTCGTCTATAAATATTTGATTATTATTTGCCGTAAACACTATTTAAGAAAGAAGGCACTGCACTTAACTAATTTCTTTAAAAATTTTCTAAGAAACTACTAGCACCATTCTAGATCGATGTATCCATCTATATCAAATGGAGGATATCATCAATCGCCGGTGCAGCAGCCATCGGCACCACCGTATGATGAGCCAAGTCCGGCCACAGGGATCCCAATGGTATTATCATCACCACAATCAATCACTAATATTTATGTCGACGACGCCGTAGCACCACCGCCACCACCACCACTTCAGCACTATCAAGTCCAAATGAACGTTATTAATATTCAATCTGGGTTGGTCGGGAATTGGTCAACCGGCTTATGCGACTGTTGCTCCGATTGTTCAACTTGTAACATTTTATTTCATTTTTTGTTACGTTTATTTTTAAAAAACTTTTCAAACCGTATAATAGACTTAATAGTAAATAAAATTATTGGGAAAAACTCATTTTTTTAATATTGTTTTTATTTATTCATTTTTTTTTGGGGGTGAATGATGAATTTGTGCAGGTTGCTTGACTTGCTGGTGTCCATGCGTAACATTTGGACAAGTTGCCGAAATAATTGACAGAGGATCAACATGTAAGCTTCAAAAAAACAATCGATTTGATGAGATTTGCGTACATAGTTCCGTCCTTTTTTTATATCGAATATGGTATTATAATAAGTGGCGATTTATTTATTATTTTTTTGTCTTGAGTACGTAGCATGTGTGGTAAGTGCGGTGATTTACGGATTGCTTTGCCATCTCACCGGATTGGCTTGTATATATTCAAGCTTCTATAGATATAGAATGAGAAAACAATACCGATTGCCTGGAAGCCCATGTTCGGATTTTGGGGTTCATTGCTGTTGTGATTCTTGTGCTTTGTGTCAAGAACATCGTCACCTCAAAAGCCAG